TAAACTATTTTTCAGAATTACGCATAAATTTCATTACAGCATTGGGTACGGGAGGCTGTAGGGATGTTGACGAGCGCCCGAGCTGTACGCATCGTATTGCCACTGCACTGTCACTATGTTGGCTCGGTGTTACTGATCGGAGTAATTAGGGGCACATGCGTGCTAGACACTGTTACCACCAAACACACAAAACAAATAACTCACAAAACAAAAGTTATCGACTAATCTTTTGATTAGTTTACAACAATCTGCGGGATCAAGTTAAAATATATAATACGTTGTGTTGAATATAAAAAAAAAATGATTAATTTATCTTTAAAATTAACGAAAAAATATTAATTTCAATTTGCTACAGGTTTTTTGACTAATTCAATACCCTCCAAAGCACCATTAATGCTGTAATTTTCTCCTCAGACCTAAGGATCGGTATGGTTGGCCGGAATATTGCTCTGTAGTCTGTTTTGCTTTGGAAATATAACCTGGATGCAGTACCACCATAGATTAAATATAACTCAAGTCGACTTCCTATCACATTGTTAATTCATTTTTTTCATGTCTAGTTCACGTTGGTGACACTGGACGTTAGTTTTGACGTACGGTACTTTTGTTTCTATTATTTTAGGGTTAGTTCTATGATGTGTTTTAATTTATTGTAATGAGACGACCTATTGTTTATGATTATATCGTTTTATTTTGGATAAACTAAGTTTATATAACAAGAGTTGTTTTCAGCTAATCCATAATGATGACGAATCTACTAAAGGAGTATGTTTAATCTATGGTATCACGTACTGTATGGAGTTCATTTTTTGGGGCCTGAAATTGGAATCAATGGCCATGTTTTTTGCAAGAATGCTCGGTGGATTGAGTTGTTTTGTTTCAGTCCCACAAACGTGAGCATTTACTAAAAGCATACGATTGCTAAAAGTTTAACACGGCATTTTGTTAAGGCTAAATGAATCAATTCTTTAAAAAACTTGCAATCATAAAATTCCGACGAGGAGTGGTATTCAAGCAATTAACTTAGGCCTATGGGCATGATAACTTTGACCAGACTAGGGGGCGGGAAATTATTTGGGCCTAGGGGCGCCGAAATGCTAAATCCGGCCCTGAAAACTGGTCCGCGACGTAGGATGTGGTGAAGGAAGTGGTCAGGACGATCTGTCCGGTGTGTGGAGACAATAATATTAATATCACTTTATTGTCATAAAACATTTCACATTTCCAGCAAAGCTGGTGAAACAGATGACATTGTCATTTCTTAGCTAACAAAAATAAAAATTAAAACTAAGGATTAAAATTAAACTAGTCACTTTAAAAAAAAACAGTCATTTAAATACTCTTCTATTGTATAATATTTCTTTTTTATAAGGAATGTTTTTAATTCTTTCTTAAACTTTACAATGCTATTGATATTTTTAAAATGAGCAGGTAGACCGTTGTAAAGCCTCAGACTCATGTAGTACGGCGATCTTTCATACAGGCATAGCCGATGTCTTGGATACTGCAAATTATTTTTTGAACGTGTTTGGTATTGATGAATAAATTGATTGTCTATAAATAATTGTGCATTACTCTTGAAGTATACCAGAATTTTATAAATGTAAAGTGAAGGCATGGTTAACATTCCATATGTTTCAAAAAGCGGTTTATATGACTTTTTTTTGCGTGTAAATTATAAGATTCTTAAAAAACTTCTTTTGTATCTTAAAAATAGTTGAGGCATATGATGTTGACCATAACTCAATACTATATTGCATAATGGAAAAAATATGGCATAATAAACTATGACCTTTGTTTTAGAATCTATTATGTTTCTTAAAACATACATCTGGAAACAAGCTGTATGTAATTTTTTAGCTAATATTTCAATGTGATGTTTCCAAGTCAAATTTTTATCAATATTTAAGCCTAAAAATTTTGTTTGTTCGACAAAAGCTAAAATATCATTTTCATATGGTAATTCAAAAATTATGTTTTGCTTATTTTGTAGTGTTTGGAGTTGCATAATATGTGTTTTAGGATTATTAAGTTTTAAACCATTCGCCGCAAACCAGCTAGTTAAATCTACAATGGAACGATCAAGCTCTAATCTAAGAGTATGTACATAATTTGCTTTTACTATAGCTGTAGTGTCATCAGCATATAATATTAGGTTTGATGATACATTGTTAGGAACATCATTTATGAATATTAAAAATAACAAGGGACCTAAAATTGATCCTTGGGGTACACCACAATTGATGGTTTGCCATTTTGAAATGAAATGTTTACCATTTTTCTTAATGACAGTTCTCTGTTGCCTGTTTTTTTTTTTAATAAGATTGTATCCAAGACAGTGCAAGATCAGAGAAGTTATAATATTTCGGTTTATTACTTAATACATCATGGCTCACACAATCGAACGCCTTGGACAGATCACAGAACACTGCTGCAGTACTCTGAGATCCATCCAAGCCCCCCGACACACGATTGATGAAATCAGAGACAGCTGATATTGTGTTTTTTTCTAATCTAAAGCCAAATTGATTATCTGTAAACAAATTATTATTTTCAAAAAAAGAGTTTGTTCGTATGCTATTTTTTCAAAAACCTTTGATAGAGTTGGTAAAATTGAAACTGGACGATAGTTTTCTGGGTTTTCTACTGAACCTTTTTTTGAAAAGTGGTTTCAATTCAGCATTTCTTAATTGGTATGGAAAAATTCCTTCGTCAAAACATTGGTTTAAAATCAGACAAAGTGGCTCTGCTATAAAGTTCATAATATTTTTTATTATTTCAACTGAAATCCCATTCCATCCTACTGATTTTTTATTTTTTTATTTTAGTTTTAATTTCTGATACAGATACATGTCTGAATTTGAAATTAACTCTATGCTTAATCATAAAATTATTCACTAACTTGGATGCAGTATCTAAACAGGGTATGCAATTAATGTCTTTAGAGGTGTTTGCAAACTTGACATTGAGAAAGTTAGAAATAGCCTGACCATTAGTTATCAGCTTATCTCTGACAACCAATGAAAACACAGCTGAAAACAGGAGCCAAGCAGTGTGGACTGTTGTCAAGTCTGAACTTGGTGTCTTGAGATCTAAAGATTTGGACTTCCCAAATCTTTAGATCTCAAGACACCTTACAGTTTAACATTTTCCGGGCTCTATCACAAACAGCTTTAAATATTTTCCTGTAATTTCTGTAATAGTTTTGAAAATTCACATCCTTATTAGTCTTAGAAATAACACTTAATTCTCTTTTTCGTCTACTTGATATAATGATACCTTTAGTCACCCAGCCTCTACTTGTATTCTTACGCAACCTACTGGAAAAAAATTTGTGGAAAGCAGTGATCAAAATGAACTGACAATTGATTGAAGAAACAATTGAAATTCGTCTGTGCATCCTGAGATGGCTTTATGTTCCAGTGAGTTTCAGAAACGCATTTATAGAACATTAACTTATTTTTATTTGAAAATAATCTCTTCTTACTTATTATTTTTTTATGCAGTTTGGTATTACAATTTGAAATATCGATAAAAAGAGCCCTATGGTCTGAGACCCCTAATTCAATATTCATTTTAGATCTCTTAATTTGGGAATTCCATTCTAAAAAATCACTAGTTAAAATGTTATCAATACATGTGACTGAATTTTGAGTAATTCTAGTCGGAGAACAAAAGTTTGTATTAAAACCATACATACTAATTAAATCCAAAAACAAATTTCTATGGTTGAGTGTGACTGTTAATGAGGATTAAATTAAGGTTTCTACAATCCTAAAATGCTATGGAAAGGGAGGAAAATAGGTCCGCGATGTAGGAAGTGGTGGAGGAAGTAGTCAAGGTGAGCTGTCCGGAGTTTGGGATCTGTTTATTACGAATAGATTAAGGTATTTGCAATCCAATAATGCTAATGGAAGGGAGGGAAACTGGTTCGTGACGTAGGAAGTGGTGAAGGAAGTAGTAAAGGCGATCAGTCCGGAGTGTGGGAAAAATCAAGTAATGATTCATTTTGTCCTAAATCGAAGTCATCTTCAAAATTATCACCTTCACTGTCACTTATTTCACCAGATTCCCTAATGTCATTAGATCTGAGATCTTTCGCCATTTTTATCACTATTACAACTCACAACACAGTTCATTTGCAACGCCAGCTGACAGCTGCTGTCGACACATACTAATAAAAATATTGTAAGAAACGGCACTCCCAAATAGTTGTCATGTAGCATAATGTTTGAGAACAGTTTGGTATGAGTATCAAGTGTCATCGATCGATCGTACGGCTGTATATTGAACGAAACTGACTGCCTGCAAAGCCGCCCAATTCCGGGCGGTTGACACTTGGAGGGTTAAGGAAGTAGCTACTACCATTGAGTATACTTATGAGTTGAACATTTTCCTTTGAGTTAGCATGGGGAGAGTTAGACATTTTATTTGATCAATAATTGTTAAGTAAATAATATATTTTCCTCTTTTTCAAAGTTCAAATAAAGCTTTCACACTTTTCATGTGGAATTTCAAATTTGAATATAATGGATTTTGTCTGCTTAACAAAACAAATTCAGACAGTTTCAATTAGTTTTTCACTTTTATACATTAGCATTAACGATAATTTATTATTAATTAATGAAAATAATTATTGTTGTGAGGGCTTTTTACCCTTAAGGATAAATTTTGATATCTACAAATTAAACAGGTAGTTCAGGGTATGGGTGTCTAATTATCCAGGTGTCTAAAGTTTGCCTAAATCTCGATTTCTCTACATATCTCAAGGTTTAAGCTCAGTCCACGGCAACCAAGTACTCCCTACAACAACTCATCAATGGATACAATGGACTCATCATCACCAACCTCAAGATATCGAATTTGGACTTTGACCATATGGTCTTTAATATAAAATGTTTGCGGTAACTAATGTTTACCGTGACCCTACCGACTGATTTGTAGGTTAAGGTAACTATCCGTTGCCCTAACTTGTGTGTCACGACTTATTCGGTCACGAGATGGCACTTACCTCGTTCCATAGTCCACAATTTGCTGTGGCAGGGCAGGTGGCAGGGTATAGCCCCTCCAATCAGCTTAACCCCGCCGCGAAGTATTCCCTCACAGCACCTAACTTCTCTTTGCTGTGGGAGGGTATGTCCCCTCCAAGCAGCCGAGCTTCACCGCGAGGTATTCAAGCTGACCCGTCAAATGTTCTGCCCAAATTATAACGCTTGGGTACAATTATACTAATATGGGGTTGCTTAATATGCCTAACAACCCCGAGCTTCTACTTACTGACACTATCCACCTCGGGCCTAAGACTGACTTGGTGGCCTAAGATGGTTATAGTCTTGGTATATTCGACCACGACGGTCTACTTACCTTGTGAGCTGTCCGACGTCCATCATCAACTGCCTAGTTCCCCTAATGCACCTGCTTATATAGGACCTTCCAGTGGCAGGGGATGTAGGGGTGAGGTAGGGGAGGTAGGCTCGGCAGCCCAGTTGTGTTGCCGCACGACCTTTGCCCTAACAGCTGATAAGCTCGGCCGCTACCTTAATGCTAACTTCTAATTCTATATATCTATCTCTCTCTCTCTCTCTAGCTCCCTCTCTCTCTCCCTCCATTGTCATCTAAACAACTCAACTTCATCCATTGTTATTTACCAATGACACCAGAATAACTTGAATAAATACTAATACTATCTATAACTAAACAATTGGGTTTATGGCCCTAGGAATAATTAAAGACAAGAAACAAAATAAAACGTTTATTCCTTCACTAAATATTGATTAACTTCTTTACAAAAATAAATATTTCTTACATGTAATTTAAAAATGAATCAGCAAACCTAGGCCTAGAAAACAGTGTGTAGATATGCTTAAAAAATGCAATGTAATGATTTAATTTCAAGGTAGCTTAACTATCTAAATAGCTGATATATGACTACATAATCAAACTTAATTCACAGTTTTTGTTTTCACCTTTATTTTTTTTTTACTAAATGCTGTACGGGTGTCCTTCGCAACGAAGAAAACACTGAAGAGAGAAAAATTATCTCTGGATCTGTTCTATAAAAACGTTACACACCCGGGCTTTTGGTTTCACGAACAAATTTTAATTAAAATTGCACCTCTTAGTTTGAAAAATATCTTTCTTTTAAGATAGGCTAAATTATATGGCTACCTAGTGAGAATTATATGAGGCCCTGATTTAAGAATGAAAATACTGTACCAAACGATTTAATTTTCAAATTATATTCTTACTTAAAAGTTGATTTATTTGATTGGTTTAATTGCTAAAAAGTAATTGCACAACATAGGGTACTGTGTAGTAAAGCAAAAAAAAAACATTCTACGATCAACCATTATAATTATATTTATCCTGAATGGAAACTAATCAACACCATATCTAGAAATATTTACTAAAATTGTACCAATGATACTCTGAACCCCTAGAGGTTCAGTCTGAATATCAGTTTTGGTGTGTTTCAGGTGCAAATTGAAGGAGGAAAGTGCACAGCTCAGTTGAATGGTGTTCTGTGTGAGTGTGTTCAGTGTAAAAGTGACTTTGCAACTAATGATCTGTCAAATGGTTACAGAAACAATACAGAAGAATGTTTGAAATGTGAACTCTGTGATAAATCATTTTACAATTTTAAGGAGTTAAAGTCTCATACGTCGCGCATACATTTCAGAAGTTTAAAAACAAATTTTTGTCATATATGTAAAACAGGACTTGGAGATAAAAATTCACTCAAAATACACATTCGCAATGTGCATCATCAATTGAACAACAATCTCAGACTTTTGTGTAAACTTTGTAATAAGTCATATGCAGATAAAAAAGGTCTTAAACTACACATTTCTCTGAAGCATATGCATACAAAAGAATACCAATGTGGAGAATGTAATAGTAATTTTGTTGATAAAAATAAATTAACCCTGCATATTAAAAGATGCCATTTACCTTATGAACTATATAAATGTGCAAATTGTGGTAAGGAATTTAATTTAAAAGATGATTTGATACAACATCTTAAATTGCACCACTCAGGTACAAATCACGGCTGTGAAATATGTGGGAAAATGTTCAAGACTAGAGCAACATTAGAATTACATTTCATGACACATTCTGATGATAAACCGTACGTCTGTCACACTTGTGGCAAAGCATTTAAAAGAGAGGGTAATTTACTGCAGCATGAGCATACACATGCAGACAACAGACCTCATGAGTGCAACATTTGTGGAATGACATTTAAACTAAGAACACATGTCAAACAACACATGGCTGTCCATGGAATCGCCAGGAATCACAAGTGTGTTGTCTGTGAGAAGACTTTTGCTAGCAAAACCCAACTGAACATTCATCTGTCAACTCATTGATTGTAATGTAACACCCCTTACATCAACTGTTTTCTTAGATAATCTTAATTTTACTATTGTTTATGAATAAATTAATGTTTTATTTAAAACTAGATTTTTCTAAATATGAATGACATCATAATTTTTTTAATTTTATAATTCCAGAGTAGGCTATAATTAAGTTTGCAACTGATATTAGTTGCCTGTTTTTTCCTTTTTTGATTTTCATCATTTAAGGTTGGTTTTATGGCAAGATGGTTTACCAGGATCAACCCTTACCTCTTTGTCAAAGTCGTTCCTTTGCGACGGCTGAACTGCTGAACAGTAACTGAGGAGGCAACACATCTTTACTTGAAATACTCAATGAGCGTGAACCTAGTAAACAGCAAACTGAACCGATTCTTACTTTCTACTTACGGTAGTTCCTTTTTGATCAACTTCTGTCACATTTATTCAGCTACATTATACAATGTTGTGTTTCACTTTGAAAGAGTTTGTGTTTTACATTAATATCATATAAATATTCAGTATTATTTAGGTTACATTCTTCTTGCCAACTTATTGTAACTAATTCATTCAAGGTTGTTAAAATTAATAATCAAAATAAAGTATTATTTTAACACTAACACAAGGTGTGAGTTAGCTCACAGAATTATTAAATGTGAACCTTTACCTCATTTTTTTAATGAAGAAGATTTAGCAACAGAAGCACAATTCTTTTAAAAGGTTTCCACAACAAGAGCACAGTGTTAGTGGCTGAGTGAAAATTTAAAAACGTACGTTTTCAGGAAAAGCACTTTGCAAATTTTTTTGCCCTTTTTTCAAAACTTTTATTATTATTTTTTTTTTTCATTAACATTTGAAGTTTCATAAAATGTCCATAGTAACGCAATATCTTTGGTAGTTTTTTTGTTTTTTTAAAGAGCATCTTTAGTGGGAAAACACAAAATCCTGTCACGACCATAACAGACGTTTAAATGAATATTAAAAATAGTTAATATTATTTTTATAACTATGTTTTGCTATAAACTAATTTACTTTTATGACCATTATACAATAAAAAGGTCACTGACCTTTTAGAATATTTGGTCTTTCTAGAAAAAAATAATAATAAAAAACTCAAAAAATTGAAAAAATGCCAATAACATCTATTTAAGTTTGTATAACTCCGAAAAAACTTACCTGAGACCCGAAAAATCGTTATGTTTGTATAGAGGTGTGTTTCTTTTGTGTATAAAACATTGAAATATCACGATATTTTAATTTTTGAAATTTGTATAATAGAAATCATAAACGTGATGGTCAGGGACAAGCGGTACGGTCGTGAATTTTCTGAAATAATCTAAATATTTCTAAACAATCCTTCAATTATACTGTTAGTTATAATAAAAATACAGTAGAACCTCTTTAATCCGAACCCCCGTAATCTGAACGTCCACTAATCCGAACCCCTCATTGCTGTTCTCTATACACAGTACAGCAGTCCTTTATTGTATACTGTATTTAATGGGATCGTAGAACTTCTAGATTGGTGTTAAAATCTGTATATTCATGGTTGTTATTAATTAAATGTTCAGCAAATGCGGAGTTAGGTTGGATAACAGATGGTTTCGGGAGATGTTCTTTAAAACGTGTTTTAAATGGGCGTGAAGTCTGACCAATATAAAAGCTTGGACAACTGTCACAATTCAGTTTGTATACACCTGAATTTTCTGTTTGATCGTCACGGTTTGTTTTCTTATCTTTTAATACTGATGACAGTTTATTCGAGGTTTTAAATGAGACGATAACTTGGTTTTTAGACATTTCTCTGCTTAATGTATGGTTGAGATAGCTGCCAAATTCGGTGGAAACGTATTTCGGTCTGTCTAAGGTTGTTTTTATGCGGCTATTTTTGTTCTTATGTTTCAAGATTAGTTTGTCGATTATATTACTTCTGTAACCGTTAGCTATTGCAATATATTTAATGGTATTGACCTCTTCGTTGTAGTTTTCTTCAGACATCGGGATTGATAGTAATCTATTAACAAAACTGTGATAAGCTGCCAATTTCTGGTTTTGTGGATGATGTGAACTATTATGGATGATCTGGTGTGTGGTTGTAGGTTTTCTATAGATTTTAAAAACAAGTTTGTTTTTATCAGAACATCTTGAGATACTAAGGTCTAGAAAATTCAGTGTTTTATTGCTTTCGGTTTCGAGAGTAAACTTTATGTTTTTATGTAAGCTGTTCATGTAAGTTAGTAGCATTCCCAACTGTCGCTTTGTGCCATTAAACAGGAAAATAGTGTCGTCTACATAACGATGATAAAACACCATTTTTTCCCTCAGGCGGTTTTTATCAGACCATAAATGTTTATTCTCAAGGTCGTTTAAATATATCTCTGCTAATATGGATGATAGCGGAGAACCCATCGCTAACCCTTCTTTTTGTAAAAATATTTTGTCTTCAAACTGGAAATAATTCTGTTTCATAATAGTTTCGGTGAGTCTTATGAGGTCGTTTACTGCTTCTTTGCATAAAGATGAGTTTGTTAATAAGTTCTTTTCGAGTATTGAAAGGGTTTCATTTACTGGTACATTTGTGTACAGATTAACTACACCGAATGATGCTAAAATGTAACTATCTTTTAGTGTGACATGATTTATCATATTTACAAGATCAGTACTATTTCTTAGACTAGAACTATTGTCAAATTTGACCTCGCGTCGTATTATGGAGTCCAATTTCTTTGCAACTTTGTATCCTGGGGATGGAATGAAATTTACAAGTGGCCTTATAGGTATGTCCGGCTTATGAATTTAAACTGTCATCAGTATTAAAAGATAAGAAAACAAACCGT